TAATCCATGCACATTCTTAGTTTGTTCCCGTTTTTAGGGACTAATATTACGTTTGCTAACCATTCCGGGTATTTGACCTCCTGGATGGACCCTATTTAAAGAGTTTAGTTACCTCGTTCTTGATGAAGACATGCTTGGTTTCAGGCTGGGGTCTCCTTTTCTGCTTTACCGGAAAGAACTTCGGGTCCAAGCTCAGCTTGTGAGTAGTTATCTCTAGAAGGATCCCTGTCATATCGAGGTGGGATGAAGCAAAGCAATCCATATTAGCTATAAGAAATTGAATGAGCTTTTTCCTGAGCTCGGGAGTTAACCTCGTGCCAAGGTATACCTTTTGATCAGGCAGATGTTCGATCAGCATGACCTACTCTAGCTCTTCGACCGTTGATTTAGTAGAGTTGGAATCATTCGGAGCTATAAAGTATCGAGGAACCTTATAATCGTCGTCTTTGTCAATCCCTTGCTTGTCCGGTTAGGTTGAGGCTGGCATCGATGATTTCTATTTGGCTTCCTTTTTTGCTTTCGAACCTAAGTCCTTTGTCAATGAGAGTGTTGATATCGGAATTACTTCATCAACGGAAAACATCGCCTTTGCGGCGGGTTGCTCCCCGTAAACCATCTTTATCTCTTATGTTGTTGGAAATTTTAATACCTGGTGAAGGGTCGAGGGCACAGCCCTCATGTTGTGGATCCATATCCTCCCGAATAGGGCATTGTACCTCATATCCCCTTCGATTACATAAAACTTGGTCACCTGGGTGGTCCCGGATATGTTTACCGGCTATGTTATTTCTCCTGTAGTAGTTTCACAAGCCATGTTGAATCCATTTAGTACTCGGGCCACGGGTACGATTTTGTCCTATAGGCCAAGTTTCTCGAAGACCCTCAATCGAATGATGTTGGCCGAGCTACCTGAATCAATTAGTACACATGTAACTTGAGTTTTATTCATGATTACCGAAATTACCAGTGCATCATTATCGGGTTGCATGATTCCTTCTGCATCCTCGTCGTTGAAAGATAGAGTCTCTTCTGGTATGTAATCTCGAGTCTATTTTTCCTTATGATTGATACTTTGGTGCGCTTTATCATCAGACCTTGAGGAATATCGACCCCTTCGATGATCATATGGATGATGTGTTGGGGCTCGTCTTGTTCATTTTGTTTATTGGAATCCTTGTTTCAGAAATGATTCTTATCTCGGTCACTCAGAAATTTTCGAAGGTGACCGTTGTTGAATAAACGGACTACTTCATCCCTCAATTGTTGATAGTCCTCCGTTCTGAGGCCATGTGTGCCATGATATTTGCATATTTGGTTGGGATCCCTATGTGTTGGGCCGGTTTGTAAAGGTCGAGGTCACTTGGTTTCTTTGATGCATCTAATAGCCGATACAATGGTAGCCGCGTCAACTTTAAAGTTATACTCTGATAATCGTGGTGCCTCTTTAGGTACGATAGGTCTATCGAAGCCGTTCTTTTGACCTCGATCACTTCTCCTTTCATTTCATGCAGAACTTTGCCTTGGTCTGCTACTTCTACGATCTCTATTACATCTGATATAAATCTCTGTTTGCCCTCGGTTCTCAGTCAATATCCTTCTTGATCCTATCAATGGGTCTGACAGGATAAACGCATCTAGAAGGATCCCCAAGTTGATCGTCCTCGACCCTGATCTTTGATTAATACTAATTATGCATATCAGCCCAAGTAACAGCTGGGTATTCTATCAAATTTTGCTTCAACTACTGTGAAGCCATTGAGCTTCCAACGTTGAGTCCTTGAGTGAAAGCTTGAACAGCCCAATTATCAGCGACCGGTGGTAAGTCCATCTGTTCTATTTGGAATAGAGACATGAATTCTCTAAGCATTTCGTTGTCCTTTTGACCTACCTTGAAAAGGTCCGACTTCCTAGTTTTGATCTTTATTTCCCCAGTGTGTGCCTTTACGAAAGAATCTGCAAGTATAGCAAATGAGTCAATAGAATTAGGTGATAAATTATGGTACCATATCATAACTCCCTTTGACAGGGTCTCCCCGAGTTTCTTTAGCAAGACGGATTCGATCTCGTCATCCTCTAGATCATTCACTTTGATAGAACATGTGTAAGAGGTGATGTGATCGTTCGGGTCGGTCGTTCTATTATACTTAGGAATCTCGGGCATGCGGAACTTCTTAGGAATTGGTTTCACAGCCACACTCGGGGGAGAAAGGTTTTTGTACGAACTTTTTGGAATCCAGTCCATTCAATATTGGCGGTGCCCCAAGGATTTGATCGACCCTAGAGTTACAAGTTTCCCCTTTTTGTCGTTTGCCTCGATCTTCTTTTCCCCTAACTCAATGCACTTTTTTAGATCTTCGAGCATCTTCATGATTGCAGGATTGGTCTCCTATTATTTCTTGTTCAATTTTCTTGAAACCGATTCGACCCTATGTACATTTTCCTGGGACGACTCGAGCTCGACCCTGCTCAGTGGGTGATTCTCGTTTTGGAGCTTGGCTATTACTGCCTGTTGATCCTATAATATTTTGAAGATCACCCGCAGGTTGATCCCTCCATCTTCACCACCACGTGCGCTTTGAGCGACCGATCAAACATCCCCACGGATGCTACCTTTGGGATTGATGGCTAAATTTCCATTGATGGCCACATGTGAGCTGATGTCAATTGGATCTACAGCTAGAACTCCATCGAGGCCAATTAGAGGTACATAGTTCCCTGGTGCTATGTTATCATTTTCGCCGTGGTGGCTGAAATCATTGTCAATGTGTAGAGGTGCTGACTGAGAGTTTGACATTTTAGTCCTGTAATCAAGATACTTCAAAGAACAGGTGTAAAATAGTGTGTCTTACGAAAGTTTTTACCAGGTAATCACTATTATCCTTAGCCCCACGGTGGGCGACAAACTATTTACCCTAAAATCGGATAACAATTGAATTTATACGCGATTTTAAGGATACGTGATATACCTTAACACAAATTAAGAAGAACAGATTACACTACAAGAAAAATGACTTCTAGAGACGAGAAAAATGGTCCCTAAAAGCCTAATTTGGGTCCCAGAATATATATAGCAACCAGTTAAAACTGGTCATGATCGGTCGCTAGATCCTCTGTCGTTAAAGGCTATTAACGATGGGTTTGACATCTGGTCCCTAAATATGTTTGGCGACCAGACTAATACTGGTCCTTGAAAGGTATTAACGACTACTTGTAATATGGTCCTTAAATAATTTTAGGGACCAGAAATATGGTCTTTACTGCAAATCAATGTCGTATAGTATTTAGTTCCTTTAAACATTTAGCAACGAGTTTACCGGTCCTAAAACGCTTTAAGGACAAGAGGATCTNATATATATATATATATAAATAGAAAATTTACTCACAAAAAGATAATATAATGATACATATGGTCTCATATATAATAATTAAGGACAAAAAGTGAATAGTATATGTTGGTGGCACTGCACAGCCATGGTCGAATATTTTTTTGAACCCTTTGCAAAATATCTACTTAACATCCCTACACTTAATATAATATTTTGTCCAACATTTCTAGCAATATAGAAGTCAACTTGTATATCTTTAAAACCCGCATCTTGATTTGTAAACTTTAGCCTCAAAAACATGTAAAAATATTCAAAAAAATTTCCTTTAATAAGATTGTAAATATCACTAGAAAATTATATTAAATAATTTTTCATTTTCACTTTAATAATAATTTGACCTCTTACCTGAAAAAGTATCCAAATTCACCAAGTGTAATATATATACACTTCAAAAATAAAACAGCTAGCAATATAAACGAGGCTGCATGAATATAAACAAAAACAAATTAGAAAAACTGTGTTATATAACCGTCGTGTCATTTACGAAAACCTAAAAGGGTAATCCTTTACCAAGAATTGCAAATTTAGTTTCAAGTTAAACATCTAGACAGTAGCTTATATGTACTTTATGAAAATCTAGGAATGTAAAGTACAACTTCAAAAAAAGATGATATTCTATACAACACAGCAACCAGCAAAGAGCATACATAATCAAAGCCAGAGCCAAAACTAAGAGAGTCAATATCTTTAATTATCTTTTAGTATTTGAAACTATACGAAGGAAATGGATCCTCAATCAAGAAGTGAGCATAGAGCCAGAGTCAAAAGTAATGCACCAAGACAGAGAGAGAAAATATTTGTAGTTCTTGGTAGAGAATTACAAATGTAAATGTTGTACAAATTGCTCTAATCTGTAACCAATAACCATACACATGCAAGAAAAAAAACTCATAAATCATACATAGGAAAAGAAGAGTCTTTTTAACTGCATACTCGGATGTTAGTACAAAAAACAAGCACATTTGATTTTCTATATTGAGTGTAGTCATGTCCTTTAGTATGAGACCGAATATTTATTCCTTCTTACTCTTTTTTACCAGTCTCAAAGAAAATAGAGAAAGGTGGATGGACATCATGTATGGTATACAAATATATAACTTATAACATGTTACATATTTTGTCAGAAGGTATATTATAAGTTTTCCACTAACATTTTTCCGTGAAACACATTTGCTAACTAGGGAGAATATACTCTTATATGCCCACATAAAACACATTCATACATCCAATATTAATGTAATACAGAACAACTAAAGTTTTACGTTTGACTTAGAAGGATCAAACTGAAATTCAGAGGAGAGGTTAATAAGAAATAAAACCATACTCGTTGTTAATAAGAAACAAAACCAGTAGATAGACCATCAGCATTTACGTTATTAGTCTCCACCCCACTTTTCAATGCAATACCATATAAGTAACAATACCATACTCATTGATCAACTAGTTAAATGGAATATTACTTGGAGATTTTTCAGCTTTAAAAAGCTGTTCTTTAGCTATTATAGTAGCATGAAACTTACTAACACTTTAAGTATTTTATTGCAGCAGTCTAATTATAAGATGTTCACCCATTGAGAGTAGTCTTACAAGTTGTAATAGTATAGTTGAGACTAGTTGCAGCAATCTCAGTATTAGTTGCAAACAAAACACATCTTTTAAGCCAAGTAACACACTAGTTGCAACAGAGTTTTACTAGTTGCAACAATATTGCATTCAAATATTTATTAACTAAAAAATAATTGAAATGAGTAAGTTGTTACTAAGTTGGTATGTTCAACAATGGTCATTCTCCTGATATGGTGACGCCGAAGGCTGAACATTAGCATGTTGAGCAACCGGAGGCTGGACATTAGAGTGTTGACTTAAGAAAAATCCTTTTAGTTCCTTCAGTTCTTTCACCTCATCTTCTACAGTAGACAATCGATCCTGCAATGATTGGTTTTGCCCTAGAGCTGAAAATATATTTTGAGTTGTAGCAAGTAGCTTATAAATAAATTGGACACATTTGTTACCACAATAGCTGCCCACATGTGATTTATCTTTTCTTCTTTAATATCATCCCATGATGATACTCCCAACGGACACATATTACGATCACGAACTATTATTCCCAATTGCCTCGAAAATAGAGTGCTATTCTTTCCAACAGTTCGATTATTGTAAAATGTCACTTTCAACTTTTCTCCAACTTCAAGTGATGCAACTTCTTTACACTTGTTCCTTCCTCGAATTTTTTTACCTTTTCAGTAGTACCTGAACCTGCATTGCACGATTTAGTAATATCTAAAACTATTGTATGTGTCAAGTAAATTTATAATCATAGATTTGTCAAACCAATCATGTTTCAACTGTTTGCATAACTTGATCAGTGGGTGGAGGAAATGGAGTCTCAGTTTGCATTTGATCTTTCCAAGAAACAAATGAGTTTTTCTTTGTATATGCAGGTAATAAAATATCAGCAGATGGAGGCAATGAAAAATTAGTTTGCATTTGCTCTTTTTCAGGAACTACTTTTTCAGGAACTAGGGAGTTTTTCTTTGTTGCTTGCATTCCTTAACCAACAGATGGGAGAGAATTTGATCTTGTACCATTAGAAGATATTAACATATTTTGACTTCCTTCACCAGTAAAAGGTTTAGACATATTTTGAGCAGTAAGAAAAGCATTTGAATGGAAGGATTCCACCTCATTTCCAAACGCCCCTAAAGAGCACATTGATCTAAGCCTTTGCCCTCGTCCCTTTGCTAGAGCACCTGGTGGAAGGAATCCATATTTGGCCGCCTTCGCAGTGGATCCAACCTCCATTTCAAGCTTTGATCTTTTCATGTTAGGCCTATAAAACAATCAGAAAAAACCAAAATAAGAATAACATAATAAAAATAATGTATAGACAAAAAAATCATGCAACCAGAAAGTAAAACAGTTAATATATTAATACATAAAGAGATTTTTATCTTATCCGTTCTTTTTCGTTTATTTTGTGAAGGATTTTCTGAATCTACAATACTATCATCTATTTGTTGCACAATCTTATAAGAATCACGATGTTTCGTCTTCCTCACCACACGCCAACCCTTATTGGAATTGTCATTAGCATAAAATACTTGAGATGCTTGGTCCGCTAATATAAAAGGCTCATTTGTTTTTAAAAATCTCCCTCAATTAACACTTATAAATTCATATTCATCTTGTTTAACTTCTTTTATTTTATCATACACATCAAACCAATTACATATAAATAAAATCAGTCTTCTACCAGGGATGAATTGCAATTCAAGTATATCAGTCAAAACTCTATAGTAATCAAGGTTCTCGCTATCTTTATCAGTCGCACCAACTACTACTACCTCACAATTTTTAGTCTTTAACTGATTATCATGATCTTCTACATGAAATCTGTACCCATTAACAATGTAGCCATTATAACGTCTCACATATCCGGTCGGACAACATGAAAGTGAGAGTAAATCTTTCATGATCTTACTATTATCTCCTTTATGCAATTATGTGACCTATCAACAAGATAAATTGAACACTTTAGTATAAGTAATACAATATTAAATTTTCATGTTTAAAGTCTACCTATTACCTCACCCTATCTTTAAACCACTCAATAAATTGTTTGTTCCATTCTGCATCGGACAAGTGTTGAAGATTATCGACATGAATTTGTGCAAACTCTCTACAAAATTTAGATCAACTACAAATGTCATACGAAAGGAGAAATAATCCTAAAGAAAATATGGAGTGAACAAAATGATATGAAATACAGTTTTTCACACTCGAGATATGGTAGAACTTCATCGCAATTCTTCAATATGTATATATGTTCCTGTTCCAATTCATTTGCTTCAAGCTCCTTTTGTTTTCCAGCCCCTAAAGTTTTTCCAGGTTGACAAAATAGAGATAAATCTCCAGCAGAATTCTTTAAACTACCATCATAATTTCGTCCAGGCCGATTGGACTTTGTATCAATTTTACGCAGATACCTTGAGCATAAGGTCATGCATTCAGTTGCAATGTATCCTTCTGCAATAGACCCTTCTGGACAAGCTCTATTACCAATAAGAGAATTCAAAAAATATAGTCATCGCTCCACAGGATACATCCACCGGTAATGAATAGGCCCAGCAATCTTAGCTTCATTCGCTAAATGAATAGGCAAGTGCACCATGACATCGAAAAATGAAGGAGGGAATACTCTTTCTAACTTGCAAAGAGTTAGAGGAATTTGGGCTTCAATTTGCTCCAGCTCTTCCCTCCTTAACTCCTTTGATCCTAGGACATTAATAAATAAAGATAACTCAATAAGTGGTTCACACACTTCTTCGGACAACATACCACGAAGTGCAAGTGGAAGCAGGTACTGTAGAAGAACATGACAATCATGACTCTTTAAGCCAGAAATCTTGTGATCTTTCATATTCATACATTGATAAATATTAGATGAAAATTCATCTGGGACTTTTAAATTCTTTAAGAAAAGGCATAACTTGTGCTTTTCTTCAAGAGACAATGTGTAACATGCCATTGAAACTTCGTATTTTCCCCTTTTTTGATTGGGTGCAATTCCGGCCTAATCTTCATTTCTCGTAAATCTAGTCGAGTTTTAATTGTGCCCTTGGTCTTTCCTTTGGAATTCATGATAGTCCCCATAATGTTATCACATATATTTTTCTCAATATGCATAACATCTAAATTATGTCGCAATAAAAGAGATTTCCAATACGGAAGTTCAAAAAAAAATACTCTTCTTGTTCCAATTATCCTTTCGAGCATCATGTGATATTTTGATCCGTTTCTTTGGATCCTTTGTTAATTGTAGCCCTTCAAGATCTTGTACTTGATTAAGTATCTCAGTACCAGAACGCTCTTTTGTTCCATCAAAAGACTCCTTATCATTCCTCCATTTATGATTTAGAGAAAGGTAACGCCGATGACCCATAAAACATTGCTTCTTACTATTAGCCATTCTAATTGAGCAAGTGTCTTTGTTACAACACGGGCATGCCAATTTTCCTTTTGTGCTCCATCCAGATAAATTTTCATATGCTGGAAAGTCATTGATGGTCCATAACAATGAAGCGTACAACTTAAAATTTTGTTTGGTTGATGCATCAAAGGTCTCAATACCAATTTACCATAGCTCCTTCAATTCGTCTATCAAAGGTTGAAGATAAACAACAATTCATCTCCAGGACTATCTGGACCTGGAATAAGCATTGACAAAATAAAATTTTCTTGCTTCATATACAACCAAGGTGGTAAATTATAAGGAATAAGTACCACAAGCAAATGTTATATGGGGTTTTTGAACTTTGAAATGGTTGAAACCTATCACTAGCAAGTCTAAGTCGAACATTATGAGGCTCGGCTGCAAATGAGGGATGAAGTTCATCAAAAGACTTCCACGCTATTGAATCAGTTGGGTGCCTCATCGTTCCATCATCAACTCTTTTATCTTGATGCCATGTCATTAGAGAAGATATCTTTGAAGACATGAACAACCTCTGAAGCCTAGACTTTAATGGAAAATAGCGTAAAGTCTTTGATGCTACCTTTTTACCATTTTTATTCCTTGTTTCCCCGCTATGTTTATCCAATTTCCATGTGGACGCCCCACAAACTTTGCACGATTCAAGCAGTTTATCCTCTTTCATAAATAACATGCAATTATTTTTACAAGCATCAATCTTTTGTTAAGAAAGCCCGAGATCTCGAATTACCTTCGTTGCCTCATAATATGAACCTGGCCAGTTAGTTCCATCAGGCAATAATTCATCCTTTAACATTTTTAATAACATTGTAAATGACTCATTACTCCAACGACCAATACTTTTTATGTGAAGCAATTTAATCAAAGTAGAAAGCTTTGAACATTTAGAATTTTGATATAGTGGTTTCTCAAAATCCTCCAATAAGCCATAAAAGTTTTTTGCTTCAATATTCGGTTCTTCTTCAAGGAAGTTATCAGAACTAATGTCCATAGTGCCTCCATCAATATTAGGATATAAATCACTCAAAATTTCTCGTATTTCATCATCACTCTCACACTCCTCTACTTCGTCATCATCTTCATCTTCACATTCAGATTGTGGTTCACCTAAAACTTCTCCATGATGATACCAAAAAGTATAATTTTGAATTATTCCATATACTTTAAATGTGCAGCTACAATCTCACGTGTTCATAAAGTTGTGTTATAGTATTTGACACATGGACATGGTATTTCACACATTTCTCCTGTTCTTCTAAAAGCATAATTCAAAAAAGTTTGCACCCCATTTAAGTAGGCTTCATCAAGTCTATCGACAACTTGCATTCACTGCTTACTAGGTGCCATAACCTTTGAGATTACATAAGAATCATATTAGAAAAAATATAAAGGATAATGAAAATACTCTAAGATGCACATAATCTTTTAGGAAAAACGAACTGGGTAAGGAGGAAGAAGCCCGAATTCTAAATTTTGTATTATATAAGCAATATTATCATGACTCGACTAGAAATATAACAAAAGGACTTGATTGCCATTTCTCTGCTATCGTGACTCATTGCCTAGTACAAATGCACTAAGAAATTAAGACCATAACTGTTATACAGAAGTAACATGGTATGCACATTACTCTATCTAGAAAAATAGATACCATAATTCTATTCTAATAACCTCAAATACAGAACACGAATTCTCAATTATTTTTATCATTATGACAAACTTTAAGTAATTGTGGTATGCAAAAGATATCTCATAACATGACTAAGAATTGCAATGAGATGCAATACTAATATCCAAATACACATATTTTCTTCATCTCTGCTTAACATAAAGAAGAAAGTTTCCTGAATTAAGATAAGAGCACTGAAAAACCAAAAGGAACCAAGAATAATTTAAATGCTACAACAACAAGGCTCCAATGAAAATTCACCCATAGACAATCTAAACAAAATGAAGTAAAGATATGATTTCTTATATAAAAAATAAACAATTGCACAAATCCTTGAGAGTTAGAATGTTCCTGCAAAGTATTGATCTGAGGAGAAACTTCTAATCTGAGTAATGCTGTAATGGACCCAATGTTTGATAATGCTAAGCTTATACAACACTAGATGGCGTTGTATGACTGCAATACCAAACCTAATTGAAGCTATGTTTTCGCTTACTAGACTTTTCAGTTGCATAGCCTATAGTATATGATATGTGCAACAGTTGTATTGTTGGTCGAATATGTTAGGCTATGATTATTGATTACAGCATAATTTGATACTTATAACATTAAACAATGAATCTGACCTCTTGATTCTGCGAGCTCTTTTTTCTCACACAAACAGGTACCTGGGGTGACTTACTTAGGATTAGTACCACGACGCATAAAAAAGGTTGCAATTCTTGGAGGTGATTTAATGGGTTCTGGAATTGCAACTACACTGCTGCCTAATCAGTGGCGAATCCAAGTTTTTAAAGTAATGGGTGCTCCATTGCCTTTAACTTAGATTGACCCATATATATTTATAGGTGTACTGTTATTAGAAAATAATGTTAAAATTTAACCAGAAAAATGTACTAAGGTTATCATTACAACATAAATTAGATGCTATTTTTGAACGGTGAATGCTTCATTTTTCAGTAATAAACCGATCAAAAGTAAGAAAGAAAATAAATTAACAAAGGAAAAAATAAGAGTGAAATAGTACAAGGAAGGTAAAAAAAATAATAAAAAGGGAAACAGGAAAGAATCGACAAAAAAGAACTTTTTCAATCGGAAAATTGTGCCTCAAACAAGTTTTGTGGGTGCTCATTGTTCAATATTGTGATTATCATTAATTTACTACACAATACCCATACTTTAAACCAAAGATAACGGGTGTTGCACCCACATGGGCGGAACACGTTAAATTACATTGATACTGCAACAATTATTTGCACTCCCTGTATAAAAGTTAAATCTTTACAATACCAAATGCCAACAAGTAATGAAAGACGTGCAAGCTGACCAATGATCAATATTTCCCATAGCTGTTTCATTGTATATAGAAGCCATGAGAATCCGCATATAATTGCTATTATTACAGAATATCAAATAATATTATAGTTACACAGAAACAATATCTAAAAATAGAGAACCATAGTAGAGGAAGAACAAATTTGAAGAACAAACACCAAACAAAGCATAGGCTTCTATAAAAAATTCAAAAAGGGACACCGAAGAAAATGTAATCTGAAAAATAACTAATTGTAAAAAAAATATTGAGTAGTAGCAAACCAATTACTACCAAAAAAAAAATCAAGATTTCAAAAACCTGCAAAAATGGGTTATTGAGAAATATTAAACAAAGGTTAACTCAAAAGATATACAGAGAAAGAAATTGTGCTTACTTGTGATGGATATGAGTACTAGATTTTCAGTTTGATATTCTCCCCAAATCTGCAAAAAAATGAGATTAGATGACCTATCTTAAGAGAGATAGAAGAAAAATATTGATTTAGTTTCAGTACATGTACCTTCACATATGGAGTTTTAGGAGAGATTCAGGGTTTATACGTCTTTAAGGAGTGAGGGAGATGAGCCTTGAGAAAAATCGGCAGATTAGGTTTTCTTAAAAGTTAGAGTAAATTCTTTTTTATGTTTTATTCCAATTTAGTGTGGCACCACTTTCTCGCGCGGAAAATAGGCCTAAATAAGGACCATATATCAGGACTAATTTTATTTCTCTTTAATATTTCAATGAAAAAATAGAGATTTAAGGACTAGTGAATTTCTTGTCCTTACTAGTGTACTTCTAGGGACCAGATTCGTACCTCGTCGCTAAATGTTGGTCCCTAAAAAGCCTTTTTCTTGTAGTGTTAATATTGAAATTGACGATAAAAGAATAAATGCAAACCACGTGAATTGAATAGTCTTGGTCCTCGAGTTCAGTCAACCTTGAACAAAAAGATATTTCAACTAATGTATGAAAAGAGTAAGAAGATTATGAAAGCTAGAAAATAGCAGAATATTGCTTTGTATTGTGTAAATATGATGTCCTTTACAAATGATCAGACCCCCTTTATATAGTAAGGAAGTCCTACTCTTGATACAGTTCTATATGAGGTAAGAAATCTCATGATTAGGTAATTAATCGACCTCTTCTTGATATGTGTCGGGATTTCCACCGCGATTCTGGCCCGACTTTGGATATTTCGGCCTTCCGTTATTTGGCTCGGTAAGTTTCCCTCGATCTTGCTCGATCTCTATCTTGCTCGGTATATGAGCTCGACAATCTAACTTTGCACCATGGTTCGATATAGCATGAGGTCGAACCTTGACCTATCTTGTTCCAGTCTCGATTAGCCACATAAAGGGCGAGCCCGGTTTTAACTGTATACACATTTATACACACCTGACAAATCAACGGCACTCAGCTACATGCTTCTACCCATCACTATCTCATCTTTTAGCTACTACATCCCCTTTGTTTCTTGGTTAAGGTTGTGACTATCGCTTTGGAAACCTTATCCATCTTAAGGTATACCAAGATTTCTGCAAAACTTTTCCTGTAATTAGGACATTCCCATTTTCCTTATACATGTGTCAAAAACATCAACAACCATACCCTACAATCATCATATATACACCAAACACCTACTATCAAATGCCAAGCGACTTTGCATCATCCATCACACTATGTATTACAACCAATATGCACTGCATAGTACCAAAGTTCAATTGTTTAGCAGCTGCATCACAAGTCTATGATATTTTTGCGAGGCATGAGTAACGAATATGTCAAAATGATCTTAAAGAGAAGTTCAACCTCTACAGTACAATATAGAATCAAGAAGAGTATGAAACACCAATAATGTCCTGGAGTCATTCATCCATATAGTTGGCCAATCTGCATCAAGAGTACCTCGGTAGACATAGCTCCACATACAATCCTAGAGCTCCATTACCAAGCTTGTTACCCCCCAAAGCCGACATTGGCGCAATAGGCATCTGATGCTAAGGAACCGTACCGAAAGCACCTTATAAGATGGATGTTACGACACTTGCCCCTTGTTCAGTTGATAAATCATTAAACATTAAGCATAATAAAATTATGTCTAAATACATTAATCTTAGTTAAATTTGATAATTCAAAAATCTTGAAAACAAACTAAGCAATGACTTGCAAAATACTTTTCACAGTATGACCATTGTAAATGAAGCTTCTAAGAAAAAAAAATATTACTTAGGACACAACGTGAAACTATTAAGAATTAGTAAAGGACTCATAGGAGCCCCACAAACAAGGATGTGGGCTCACCAACAACTTGAAAGCAACAAGTACTCCTAGCCCTCTCGATTTGCCTGTACCTGCTCTACTTTGTTGCCTAACATAGCATCAAAAACAATTGTAGTATGTCCAAGTACTAGTACTTAGTGAATGTCAAGGAGCAAGTTCTCATATAAATAAAGTAAGTACAAAGTATAGAATGAAGCAGTAATAATGAAACAAATAAGTGCAGTAAATCAAGTGCTCAGAAAAAATCAAAGATAATGAGATACTAGGCTTCCCATTCATCATGTTCAGATATCACATCATGCCCATACATGCCCAAATAAATCGCTGCCAATCAAGGCTCATGTTGTTGCCCATACATGACTGGATAAATCGCCGTCAATCAAGGCTCGTGTCTTTGCCGATACAGGTCTGGTACCATTGCCAACCAAGGATCAGTTCCATTATCCATACAGGCCCAAGTAAATCGCGCATACAGGCCCAAACAGATTTCCCATACAAGTCCAAACAAGTTTTGTGTTTATCATGTGTGTCTTTTTATTAATCACGGCATAATAGCCGATTCATTCATGTTCATTATTCCTTTATCAAGTAAATCTCGAGAATTCATGTTTTAGTTCAGGAAATCATAAAAAAATCAATAGTTCGAAGATATGTTTCAATTCAAGCAAATCACGTTCATAAACAAAAACAAACAATAACCCTGTAGGATCCCACTAGTGGGGTCTGGGAAGGGTAGAGTGTACGCAGACCTTACCCCTACCCCGAAGGGATAGAGAGGATATTTCAGGGAGACCCTCGACTTAGAGATAATAGATCCTTAAAAACAACACAAACTTGAAAAATAGAATCAACATCTTAAAAGATAATAAATAAATAGAAAGACCAAAATGTGAAAGACACACACACACACATATGTATATATATATATATATACATATATTGTTGCGGCGTGCAGCCCGATCCATAAATATATAATCCTCACAACTAGTCCTTCGGCCTCTCTCAATCATTAACCTCACCATCAGACCCTCGGTCTATCTTAGTCATTAACCTCATAATCAGACCCTCGGTCTATCATAGTCAATACCCTCACAATCAGACCCTCGGTCTATCTCAGTCATCAACCTCACGATCACTCGAACCATCAGTAAAACAGGGAACTCAGCCCAAACAGTTTTCACATTTTAAGAATTAAAGTGAAAAAAACCAGATTTAAACAATAAACTGGTAAATCATGACTGAAGATATACTTTCAAAACAAATAGAGTGAGGAAAAATAGTAAAAATGCCCCTAAGGGTCTCAACAGGTTGACACAAGGCCCCAAACATGTCATACAACCCAAAATATAATATCAATCTCTACAATATGGAATATCATAAGATTTCAAATCAAATACACGACTTAACAGTCGTACGGGACGGACCAAGTCACAATCCCCAACGGTACACGACTCCACGCTCGTCATCTAGCGTGTGCATCACATCAATGTAGCACAATGATGTGAAATTCGGGGTTTCAAACACTCAGTACATCATTTACAATCGTTACTTACCTCGATCCAGTCCAAACTCTAGCCTGCGATGCCTTTTCCCTCACGAATCGACCTCTGAATACTACAAATCTGGCCACAATCAGTACATAACTATTAAAATATGCTAAGGGAACAAAGCCCACTCGAAAATATCCAATTTGCATAAAAAATCCCGAAATTGCTCAAACCCGACCCCCGAGCCCATGTCTCGAAATCCGATAAAAGTCACATCAACAGAATCCTCATCCTCTCACGAGTCTATACATACCAAGAACATCAAAATCGAACTTCAAATGGCCCCTCAAATCCCAAATTTTAGTTCTCCAATTACAAACCCTAGTTCTTCAATACTAGGCTTAAATTCCATGATTAATTAGGTATAATTCACATAAGAAATGAGTATAAAGTCCATAAATCTTACCTCCATGTGATTCCCCTTGAATCCCTATTCAATCCTCTTCAAAAAGCTCCAAAAACGACCAAATGGTGGAAATAAACCCCAAAATCGCTGACAAGACGACTATCTAAACATTCTTCCCAGGCCTGAAATCCTTCTTCGCGAACGCGGTCAAAGCCTCGCTTTCGCGAAGCACAAAATAACTTTGACCAAAATTTCCTCTTTGCGATGACGACCCGCCCATCGCTAACGCGATGCTTCCTCAGACTAAACCTTAGCGAACGCGATGAATAAAAATGCCTCAAGTCCAGCTAACCAAATTATTCTACGCGAACGCGATGACTAAACATCTAGCCCTTCGTGAACGCGAAGGCTTAACTCCCAGCCTTCATCAACTAACCCGTCGCGAACGCGAGGGTCTACTCGTGAACGCGAAGGCCATTTCTCTGCAACACTGATCCGCAATTTTCTGCAATTCCAAAAAGCATGCAATGGTCCGATTGATCACCCAAAACTCACTCGAGGCTCTCGAGACCTCAACCAAACATGCCAACATATCCCATAACCTCATTCAAACTTGTTCCAACCTTCGGAACGCCCAAAACAACATCAAAACACCAAAATTATATCGGATTCAGGCGTAAGAATTTTAAGAGCTTCCAAATTATGCTTTTGATCAAAAACCCAACCAAACCACGCTCGAATGACCTGAAATTTTGCACACACATCACAAAATGACACAACGGAGCTACTGCAACTTCCAGAATTCTATTCCGACCCCTATATCAAAATCTCACCTACCAACCGAAAAATGCCAAAATCTCAATTTCACCAATTCAAGCCTAAACCTTCCACGGACTTTCAAAATGCATTCTGATCACACTCCTAAGTCTCAAATCACCTAACGGAGCTAACCAAATCATAAAAATTCTGATCCGAGATCATATACCAACGAGTCAAATCTTGGTCAAACTTTTTAAATTTCAAGCTTCAACTGAGAACTGTTCTTCCAAATTCATTTCGATTACCCTGAAAACCAAAACTAACGATTTACATAAGTCATAATATATCACACAGAGCAAGTCATGCCCGAGAACTGACAAGCAAGGTGCAAAAGCTCAAAACGATCGGTCGGGTCGTTACATCCTCCCCCACTTAAACATATATTCGTCCTCGAATGTGCCCAGAGTTGTTCCAAAATCCAACCAATCGCTGAATAAACTTACCATGCACATACCCGGGGGTGATCCCACGTCACCCTATCTCGTATAGGTCTGATAACATAATGTAACTGAAATTTTCACAATCCAACCTAACACATAAACCTTAGAACCACATTTCCACTTCCGAAATCATCCACAAGATCAGAATCTCACATCTATATTCTGAATAAGCCCGAACAAGCTACAATAACCCATAACTACAACCTCATGTGAAATCTCATGATATACTACATAACTCAAAC